AAAGATACAAAGTCAGAATATGACTGCCATTCACTGACATTACTGTTATCTAAGAACAGAATATTCTGTTCTAGATGAAGGAACAATCATAAAATAGATCACACAAAATAACGGAAAATTCAAACACAAGGCCTTGATGGGTTAAACTTTAATAAATGAATAGGATTAGACTACCCTCTAGTGGAAACTGAAGATAATTCAATATATACAGCACTTTACAAATATATTTTCCCAGCTTTGTGAGAAAGTGCACACTGTGGTTATTTCACAGAATAAGAGTACAGAATCTAGATTAAATACTTCATTTCATCCTTACATATTGTCTTTCAATTTCATGACATTTAATGTAGTGGTTTTGCATTCTAACCTTTGTGCTGCACAAGTTAAATTTTGTAACATCTACTCAAACCCTTCTGTCATAGAAAGATGGTTTTGTAAAATCACAAAAACTAGAAGGACTCCTACTTGCATGTCAGCATCCTGATGGCAGGTACCCTACCTTGTTCCCAGCTGTATCCCCAGATCCTATAAATAGTGCCTGGTTCATATACCAGGAAGGCATTGTGCTAAGCATTTAAAGTTTGTCATCTTATTTAATCCTCCAACTACCCTATAAGGCAAGTTGTCCCTCGGTATTCTTGGGGGATAGGTTCCAGGACTCCTGAGAATACCAAAGTTCTTGGGTGCTCAAGTTCCTTATACAAAATGGTGTAGTATATAAACTACCCACAACCTCCTATATACTTTAAATAAACAATTTATAATACCTAATATGATGAAAATTGCAATGTAAATAATTGTTATATTGTATTGTCAAGGAAAAGTGACTACACACATTCAATACAGACACAATTTTTTAATAAATATTTTTTATATGCAGTTGGTTAAATGTGCAGATGAGGAACGAGTGGATAAAAAGGGCTGACAGTATTTGAGCCTCATTTTGCAGACAAGGGAACTAAAGGTTGAAACAGTTAAGAAGCCTGCATAAGTCTCACAGTTAGGAAGTTGTAGAATTGAGAAATAATCTCAGATCTGAGGGTTCTATTCTTTGTTTTTCAATTTCCAGCATACGTTATCATTTTTTCCTTAAATGACAAGCTTTACCAGTAACTATCAATTAAACAGGCTTTTATAAGCTAGACAGATCACATCCCATGAAAAATCAATAGGAATGGATTAGTTGTTGTTACTTAACAATTCCTAAGGGGGCAGGTAATCAGGAGTCATATTTATTAAGCCATAGGATAGCACAGCTAAAAGCATCATCAAAGTCTAAACTCACATAAACTCTTACTCTTTAATAAAAACAGCCCCTCCAATGAGAAAGGCAAGACCAATAAGAGGTAAGTAGCCAGGAAAATGGAGAGACTGATAAGATACAGTATTAGATCAGATGAGAAGGTGAAAAATTAAAAGTGAAAGTATTTTCTTCTGAATTAATTTTTTATTGTTGTTCCACTATTTAACATTTGTAATATTATATCRTGATGTTTAGGTGATAGGAGATATTTTGCGACTATTAAAAAAAAGAACCCAATAATATATAAATAAACATTTAAAACACTAAGTGCTTCTGATATCAAAAAATGATGCCTAGGACTTGGGTTCTAGCTCAGTACAAGGCCCTAGGTTCAATCCCCAGTACCAAAATAATTTTGATAATATTCAAAATTAATTCATAAAGTTCATTAATGATACAGGTGTTTATAAAGCCTGTATCACAAAACTTGACTTCATAATGTTTTCCTGTTGTAACATCAACAGTGACTTTATGGAGTTTAAGTTGATTAGCTAAGTTTCACAATTTCAAAACATCTCAATGAGCTTATTCTGGGTCAGTAACCTTAGGCCTTGGGATTCCAAGTTTTGACTTTCTGTCTTGTAGTTATTCATTGACATTCAGTAGAAATATCAGGCAACTAATAGCAGTGAACTCTGAAGGAAATGTGTTTTTCAGATGCTAGTGAATAACTTCATTGGCAATATACATAAAAAATGAACCATCTAGATTTTAGAGGTATCTTTTAAGCAAACTGAACTCACCAAAAAGGGCTCAAAATAAGTTATATACAGACTGGGGGCAGTAAATGATTCAAGTTTATTTAGAAGTGGACTATATGTCCAGAAGAGTACTTCAGAGAATCCTTTAGCTTTAATTTGCTTTTAGTGGTAAATGTTCTCAGATTAGTAAAAAGGAGAGCATTTAAATGAGCATGTGGGAAGCCTGTCTCATTCCTTTAAGAAGCCAAATGTAGCTTCTAAACAGTAAGGTCCTGTGTTAAAAAATATCAAATGTTTTCAGGATATTAGTTTTTTGTTTGTTTGTTTTTTTTTTTTTTTGGTGGTTGGTACTAGGGATTGAACCCATGAGTGCTTAACCATTGAGCTACAACCCCAATCCCTACCACATCTTTTTAATTTTGAGACAGGGTATCTCAGTTGCCCAGGCTAGTATTGAACTTGGAATCCTGCTGCTCAGCCTCCCAAGTTGCTGGGATTATAAACATGCGCCACCATACCTGGTTAGAATCTTTTTTTTTTTAATTTTTTTTTCTAGTTGTATATGGACAGAGTGCTTTTATTTTATTTGTTTATTTTTATGAGGTGCTGAGTACCAAACACAGTGCCTCACACATGCTAGGCAAGTGCTCTGTCACTGAGCTACAGCCCTAGCCTATAGAATATTAATTGAGAATGAAAATATACCATATTCTAAGAAAGACTTATGTTGATGCATTTCCTAAAAACAATTAACTATGAAAATAATAACTGTGTGGGTTGGGGTTGTGGCTCAGCGGTAGAGCGCTCGCCTAGCGCGCGTCAGGCCCTGGATTCGATCCTCAGCACCACATAAAAACAAATAAACAAAATACAAGTATTGTGTACAACTAAAAAATAAATATTAAAAAGTATTTAAAAATAATAACTGTGGCAAATGCATTTAGTTTAGTGGAGTGGTAGTAAATAAAGAATAAATATCTATAAGTAGTATTTATTCCCAGCTGGGGGGAAAAAGAGAGAGAGAGAAAGGTCATCATAAAAGAATATCTACAAAGAAACACATGACCAATGAAAGCACATGACGAACAGAGCTGCAGCTGAGTAAGCTAAATGAAGTGGCTGAGAAGAAAAGCCCAGATGCCTTGAAGGTTCTTTCTGTCAGTTACCCAAAGCTTGAGCAGCATCATTCCTATATCTACAGGAGGAAAAACTCCACACAGAGGGAAATCTGACACTTCTCCTAGGACCAGAATTTCTTCTCCATGCCCTACCTCATAAAGTCCCAGCCCCAGAAGTGTCTGTAATGGCCAGAAGGTTTGAAGAAGATGGTTAGGGAAGGCCAACTGACAGCTGCCCTCCTACTGCCTCACCACCACCTCAGAGGGCACTGCTGTGGCTGGGATCCTGGGTCCACATCCTGCCAACTGGGACCCTATACAGTCACAACCTCTCCAAGGCTTAGGTTCTTTATTGGTAAAGCAGGGATAAGAAAAGCTACYTTAATAGGGTTTGGTGTCAATTAAAGATAGTATCTGTAAAGTACCTAACAACTCTGACACACAGTCAATGCTATAAATGTTGGTGACTATTACAAGCAACAACATTCTGATATCATTTGTCTATTTTATTCAGACAAAAAAACCTGGTGTGTGATTTATTACCTTGTGAATCAGTTTTGTACTGTTTTAAATGAGGTAATATTGAAAAACAGGAAAAGATGATAGAGTACCTTTACTTTCTCATCTGTAAGACTGAATCAAGTTATCAGCTCAAGAAGTTTACATCCTGTGTAGACAGCTTCAGCCTCCTCTTTGACTAAGATTCTAAGCTTGGTTAGAAAACAGTACTAAAAAAATTACAGAAAGGCTCACTTAAAAAAAATGGAGGCTATTATTTTGGAATAAGCTCCTATGGTAAGCCACAACACATCAGGACAAAACTAAAAATGAATTCACTTAATGCTAAAGTTCCACCTCACCAAACTGAAATTGTGCTGTTTATTTGACTTTCCTGAAACATCAGGAGTAAAAAGAAAATAGCCAAATTTCCCAAACAGGCCAGTTTCCCCTTGCATGATAATAAAATTTCCTCTGCCCTAATCCTTACACAAAAAAAGTAATCTGAAGTAACCTGATGTTAACTTTTTCTGGAAGTACACAATCATTTTTCTATTGTTTTGTCTCCCTGCTCACACTCTACAGAGTAACTTTCAAATGACCCATCTGTCTTTTGTTTCTGCTTCCCTCAGTGCTTTCTGGCTATACTACTAACCTCCTGTGCTCAGCTCATTAGAACACTCACTATAATTTATGGAATGAAATGTTGCCCGATTTTAGAATTGAAAATAAAGCCAACTAGGACTTTCAAATTGTTGTAATTTCGTCCTCTGACAGAGTAAGCCATGATATTATCCTCAGATGTAGCATTATAAACAATAATTTTCTGACTATAAACCTAAGGAAAAAAGGATATCAATATAATCCAGCCAAATGAAAACAACAAAAATAAACCTGCACAAAATTAAAACTTAGCCAAACAGATACCTCAACTGGATTTGTTTGAGGAGGGAAAACTTGTGCAAGACGTGAAGCTRGTGGACCTATACTTTAAAAGCAATGTCTTCTGGAGGACATCCTACAGTATGGACAAAGTCACCCTAACCCCTCTTACTTGCTACATTTAACACTTCTAAACAAAAAGGCCTATGTCCCAAAGATAGTAAAGAGTCACATAAAGAACTGTCAGAATAAAAATTACATTTCCTGATGTGAACTGAGACAGAAAACATCAGTGGAATACTAGAAATTTATACACTTTAAATAATTTTCTGTCTAATCCTTAATCAAACTATAGAATTAATTAAAAATTCACTATTTCCCAAAACATCCTGCTAGCCAGAAACAATGTATTCTTGGAAAGTTTTGAAATTACTCCAAATCCTGCCAAAACTGTTTTCATTCCAAAATGTGATGTACAGATATAAGCATCCAACTTACCCAGATTTGCTGTCATGGATTCTAGGTCTGCTATTAAACCTGGAAGCTGCTGGAGCTGTTCTTGCAGCTCTATCAGGCTGGTCTTCTTTTTCTCCCAGTGTGCTGAAAGCATGACCACCTCGCTGTCCACCAACTGCAACACAGACCCAGAAAGGCAAAGGAAAACAGATCTTGGGTATGAAGAAATTACAACTAGTACAAGATTCAGTCACTGTTAATTTAACAATCCACTACTTAGCACAGATGATACTACATGCTAAACAAGCCGGAGATTGTTTTCTTTTCTTTTTTTTTTTTTTTTTTTTCAGAAAAGAACCGACTTATTATTCAGTACAGGAAACCTCAAATTGTTGCTTGTGACAGTGCATCTTAACCCAAAGAAGAGAAAATTCAAAAATGACTTTTGAAATCACTTCCACGTATAATCTGTTTTTAAGGAAAACATTTATTTGAAAATCTAAAGAGAAAAAAAAAAACTACCACAAGTAATCAAAAAGAAAACAAACAATAACAAATCAAAACATAATTAGCAGGTAATTATTTGTTTTACAAAGGAATTCTCATAACAGAAGTTTCCTAATGCATTTTAAATAACCTGATGATTTCATAGTTAAGCAGGAATACTTCCTGCATAAAGATATTGACAATAAAGATATTGACATATACCAAAGAACTATAGGTAATTGTGTGCAATTCCAGAAAAAGATTTACATCACCAAACAAGTAAATCAGATGTTAAAAAGTCCTAACAGCAAGGTTAAGAGATACTAGGCTAGCCTAAGATAATTCTAACTTCTTTTCCTAAAGACTGTAAAGAAAGTAACACCCATTAGTTTCTCCCAAACAATTTTGTTTTGGTCTTAACATGGTGAAAGAGGAAAGGACCTAGGATAAGATGCAGGGGGTGAAAGGTCACTGTTTGAAAACATGGCCAATAACAAGAAGCCAGAATTGTGACAAATACCCATATTCTGTACAATAAATGTTGCAAAATCCATTACATAATCATTTGAATTTGATATGCAAAATCATTGAATTCAGTTTTATGGAAAGAATTTACATTACAAGAGATTAAAATTCTTTAAGAGTTAGACTGAATACAACTGATTCTCATATCTCAAAATATAAGAATTTTCGAGGAATTAATATATCAAAATTAAGATACAAAATTATTATTTTACTAGATTATTATTATTACTAGATTTTTTATTATATTAAAATGTAGAAACACTCACATCTGAAAAATAAAAAGAGTACAATGTATCTCCCTATTGTTTCCAGCCCACAGTGGGGCAATAATCATACCATCTCTCATATTCAGGCCTTTGTTGAGGGGAAGAGGTGACACCAAGTTTTCTGTGAACTGTATTTCTCATTATTTTTTAATTTTCATTTATTTACTATTTTATTTATTAAGAGATGAGGGTCTGGCTATGTTGTTCAGGCTGGCCTTGAATTCCTGGGCAAAAGCCACACTGTCTTAGCCTCTCCAAGTAGCTGGAACCATAGGCAGATATCATGATTGTCAACTGGTCTTTATAATAATCTCCAAAAGTAGTTTTAAAAGTACTAAAAAAGTACTAAACTGCGATAAAAGATACAACTGTGATATGGTAAGGAATTGGCTTGAAACAAAGATCTGTGTTCACAAAATTCATTTCTAAAGTTCAAACAACTTTTATTGACTGCCCACTATTTGCTAATCCCTGTTTTAGGCACTGGAGATGAATAAAGAATATCCTGCACTCTTAGGCATAGTTTGGTGGAAGATTTCTCAAATTCTCTTGGCTTCAAACTTTAAACTGTAACAAAATTCCTTTATTACAGGGACATAAATAATACATTTTGCCTGAGCCAGGCATGGTAGTGCATGCCTATAATCCCAGCAACTTGGGGGCCTGCCTAGGAGGCTGAGGCAGGAGGATCCCAAGTTTAAGGTCAGCTTTGGCAACTTAGGGAGACCCTGTCTCAAAACTAAAATAATTTTGAAAAAGGGGTTGGTAATGTGGTTCAGTGGTAGAGTGTCCTGTGTTCAATCTCCTATATCACAATAAATAAATAAACAGACACACACGCCCCCCGTCCTTGTATATATGTGCGTAAATATATATGGCATATCTTTTTAAAAAGTTGTTAAATCTATAATAAACAATTCTGTAATATTAATCATTCTTTACTAAAAATCAAAGGTCTTGAGGATCCAATCTAGTGCCTCACATATCTAAGGCAAGTGCTTTACCATTGAGCTACAGCCCCAACCCATCAATATTTAATATTAAAACTTAATGATAGTTTATCTTATATAACTTCCACAAAATTAAAAATTACATTCTGAACATAGGCTATAAGATTATGATAAAAAATAATTTATTCCCAGAAATTCAATTTTCTACCTCTAAGTCAACAAATCCAATTTTAATAATAGGAAATCAACTTAAGGAGCAGGACAAACCCAGAGGGCTTCATTCCAAAATCCCTTCTGGCAGCCACTGAGATTAGGCAAATAAAGAATGAGCATGGAACACCAATGACTTATAATGTGGATAACAAGACCTCACTCTATACAAAATTGCACAGTTCAGAGTCGAAGGAGATGTATTATTTCATTTGATCTTTGAACAACTTTAGTAAGCTAGAAGCAAAACACTAGAGGTCTAACTTCAGAAAACTGCCCTCAGGCTCTAACCCCTAAGTCACTATTAACTCTGTATTCACTTACCGATTGCTAAGGAAGGGAAAAATATCAGAACTTGTTTAGAAAAAGCCTAGGCAACTAAGTTTTACTATTGACCACAGACATTTGCTTTTTAAGATACTGCTCTAAATTGTAAAATTTCATAGTTAGAATTGGCTTTAAAGTAGGTARGTATGAAATAATTTGTTAAACAAGACTGAATTGTCTATGAGCATGTTTGCCCCACGAGACTGATGCTGTTGAGTTAAAAGCTGACAAAGACACATGAGCAGGTCTGATAAAATAAACATGTGATAAGTTTAACACGACTAATAATAAACACACTTAAATATTTATATGTCTCAACACATTACAGAGGGCTTTGAAGTACATTTTCATTATTACAGCTGGGAATTGTACTTTTGGAAAGCAGAGAAGTCTCTGGTTCTGACAACTGGGAAGGTTTGGGTGTTTGCTACTATTTGGGAGGAAGGGACCAGAATCTGTGGGAATCTGAGGGCTCCAGGCAGAGAGAGTTTCATCTATGAAGAATTTCTTGGTTGTCAAAATGCAGTCACTTGTGACTCTCATTTCCTAACTGAGTTCCTCAGTTCCTTAGGAGGTATTATAATAAATAACCCCATAATTATGTGAGGCCAAAACCATATGCCAATTTGTACAGGAATACTGACAGATTTCCTTGTTGGCTCCTTCTGCCAATAGGTAGACCATAACCTTTCACTAGGGGATGTAGCCACTTCAAAGTTCAAAGAGCATTATGTAAGTGTCTCAGATTCAGTTCCCAAGTCTTCTATCCCCATAAATCTCCAAAAGTTTTTTACTATTTGACCCAGATTCCATATTTTATATTTTTAACACTGATTTTAGTTCCTTATTCATTTTTTAAGCCTTTTAATTTCTTTTAATTTTTGTGAGCTTAATGTATATTATAAATTCTTATATTCAAATATACATCCTTATATACTTTTGTGAGCTTAATGCATTTTTAAAGAATGTATATACATACAAAAATTCTTATATGCAATATTTATAATATATAAACAGGTATTCTTTCACATGTAACCTAAAACTCAGGCATTTTAGAAGGGGATCTGGGTCATCCATGACTTTTTATATGTTATACATAAATATATACTTTTATATATACAGAGAGGGAGAAAGGGAGGGAGGGAGAAAGAGAGAGAGAACACATACTCGTGTTTCAGGGCTACAGGGCTTTGTTTCCCTTTCTTTCTCTCTTTGGCAGTACTAGGGCTTGAACTCAAGGGCATTGTAGGTACATCTACAGTCCTTTTTTATTTTGTGTTTTGAGACAGGGTCACTGACTTGCCTGGGATAATGAAATTTGTGATCCTCCTGCCTCAGCCTCCAGTCACTAGGATTATAGACACGCTATAGACCACACCCTGCTACTACAGGTATATTGAGAAATGCACCATTAAGCAATTTCATCTTTGTGCAAACACCATAGAGAGCACTTTAACCTAGCCCATTACATACCTAGACTACATAGTAGATAGCTATGGCTCCTAAACCAGTACAGCAGGTTATTATATAGAATACTGTAGATAACTGAAACACAATCTAAACTGTAACATATCTAAACAAAAAAATGATTCAGAAAAAATATGGTATGGGAGGAGATACACCTGTCTAGGGCGCTTACCAGGACTAGAGTGTACAGGACTGGAAGTTGCTCTAGGGGAGTCAGCAAGTAAGTGGAGAAGAAATGTGTAGGCCCAGGACACTATTGTACCTACTGTAGACTTTTCTTCCTTAAATAATAAACTTAGTTTACTATAGATTTTTAGTTTGACTTATATAGTAACAGGTTAAAACACAAACATATTGTACAGTTATATAAAAATATTTTCTTTGTATCTTGTTGATTTCTGCAGCCTCTTCCTTCGTGAATCTTCTGAAGTCATGGACAAACCTCTTAAATATCTTCTTCCAGATGTCAGCATATACTCCATGGAGAAATCACCCTAAGCCCAAGTAAAGTTCGGGCTGCAGCAGCATCTTCTCAGCATCTTGTTCAGTTGCAGTACTAGCCTGGGCAAAAGTCCTCCTCCAGTAGTAGGCCTTAAAAGTTGCTGTAAGTCCTTGATACAGATCAAAAGGGTGATATTTAGAAGGAGAAATACCACTTTGACAAAGGGATGAAGATCACCAATAAAAGGCAGATATACAGAAGCATTAACAACAATCCAACAATAAGCAATATTTTGAAAAGTATGTTATTCTCCAAACAGTGCTTCTCCATTCTGSTGGCAAAGCTCTCAGGAGGCATTCTAGAAGAGGACTGGGTCATGCATGACTTCCTATTGTTCCATAGGACACTGTGTGTGCTTATTGATATGCTGGAAAGTCCTGCAGTTCTCACAATGCCAGAGGGTATGAGAGGGTTTCAATCTGTAGCCTGCAACATTGCCCTCAAGCAAAACTGTTATCTTCTCCTTGCAAGCCAAGAAACCTAACACTGACTTGGCTGCTTATGGGGTAAAAGTCCTTCTAGTCCTCCTATTCCATACAGGGAGCTTACATCCACTTGAAGATCCGCTCTGGCAGGTGATTTTCCTCCATGATAAGTTTATCTAGTATTTCCAAAACCCCTCAGCTGCCCTCACAGCAGCACTCACGGACTCAACATTCTTTCACATTCTATGATGAATAACGATTCTTGAATAGCTTAAACCCCCCCAGCTGGTGGCACATTCAATATCACAGGTGGGTCTGGCCTTTTCTTTCAACACTGTGAACAATCTCTTAATGTGGCCATGATTGTTGGTGCTGACAGGGATGGGCTTCTGGTCTTCAATCCAGGCCACTAGAAGTTTCTCAGTATCTGACACAGGCTCATCTTGAATTTGTTAGTCTCGTTGCCTTCATCAAAGAAGCAGGTCCTTTAACAGCTTCCATCACTCTGCTCTAGATTAAGGCCAAGTGATAACATTGCTGTGCTTCCATCTTTATAGTCCTTCGTCACTTTTAATTTTGTTAGCAGGTCAATTATTCGATGTGGCCTTTTAATGGCAACATTAGCAGCTATTTTTGTATACTTAAGGGCCATGATGAACAAGATAACATAAGAATAAATCAAGCACAAGGGAAAATGATGCGATCAAGATGTGGTAAACYGAGATGAGGCTGCTGTGGAATAGCACGTTAACAGTATGCAAAACATGGCGCACTGTTTTATGGTAAACTGTTTTTGTTGTTGTTGTTGTTTTTAAATAAGTAGGAGTACATTTTAAAATAATAAAAAGGACAGTCAATATGTAAACCAGCCACATTGTCCTTTATTATTTTATGTGCTATTCATAATTGTATGAGTTACATGGCAGTACAGTATGTATACACCAACACCACCACAAACATGAGTAACATGCTGCACTTTGAAAAAACCTCAGCTGTGATATCACTTGCATTTCAGCTCCATTATCATTCAATGGTGCTCTCATTATATATTTAGCCTATGGTTGACCGAGAAACTTGGTCATGCAGCATATGGCTGTGACTACTCTGCCTTACTGCCAGAAACTAACATTCCCCTCTTCTCAGCAATTTCTAAGAGAAAGAAACACTAGTATCTAAAGGTCATTATAAATATTCCTTTGTTCTAACATAGGTAGATGGTAAAGAAAGTCTTAAATCCAAAAGTCAGACACACAGAAATATCTAAGAGAAAGTTTAACTGACATTAATAGCACAAAGCATTTGACCATGGCTAGTAAAGCTTTAAGTGTGTGTACCAATAATTTTAAATACAAGTTACTTTCATTCATTATATACTCTATAAATACCTAAAAATAAATTTGTTCTTTAAACAGCATTCAAATCACTGAAATGTTTATATTTTATATATACATATATTTGTATATATTATTTATATACTTAACTTTTTTTTTGTTAAACCAAGTGTTGATTTTAGGTAGACTGAGCAAAGCTAAGCTTTTGCCCAAACAGTAAGAAATTCTTCAACAGTGGGTAGAATGAGATCACATCTCATAATTTACATATACTACAAAGTTATCAAACTCTAATTCAAAGCATTATACTAGATGAATCAAATACCTCACTGTTCTTAGAATAAAAGTTAAAAATTCTCCAACCCAACTAAACTAAATTACCAGACTGAGAAATTGTGTTGGGGGGAAAAAAAAAGTGTGAGCCAGGCAAGGTAGAGCACACCTATAATAATAGTGACTCCGGAGGCTGAGGTAGGAGGACTTCAAGTCCAGTAACTTAGCAAGACCTGAAGCAACTTAATGATATTCTCTCTCAAAATTAAAAAAAAAAAGGCTGAGGATAAAGCTCTGAGGCAAAATGCCCCTGAGTTAAATCCCCAGCACCAAAATAATAATATTATTTTGGGAGTTTGAACTAAATTCAATATTAAATATTTATTTATTTAGATGCCAGGGATTGAATTTGAAGTATTGCAAAATACTTCCATACAATAATAAACTTAATTCTTAATAAATTAGCATTTAACATCGAAAAGGAAATTTTCCCATGAATATAAAATTAGCCAATTCTAGATGAGCATGCGTGCCTGTAATCCCAGTTGCTCAGGAGGCTGAGGTAGGAGGATCCCAAGTTCAAAGACAGCCTCAGCAACTTAGTGAGGTCCTAAGAAACTCAGCAAGACTCTGTCTCCAAAAAAAAAAGGACTGGGTACAGATGTAGCTCAGTGATTAAGTACTCCGGGGTTCAATCCCTGGCACCAATATAAATAAATAAATAGTTAAATAAAATTAGCCGATCCTTTACCTCTCCAGCATTTGCACATTCTTTGGCTCTTCTGTGAAGTGCAGCCCAGGTATCTTCATATCTAAGAAAAGCAAAACAATTCAAAATAAAAAATCACACATTAAAAAGAAATACTATTGCCAATCCCAATAAATCAAAGGCCAAATGGTTTGTCTGATATGTGGATGCTAATTCACAATAAGTGGGGATAGGGGTGGGGGCTAGGGACAAAGAGGTACTTAGGTACTTTGGATTAGACAGAGGGGAGTGAAGGGTGGGGAGGGAGTATGGGGGTAGGAAGAATAGAAGAACTAACAGACATTATCACCCTATGTATATGTATGACTACAAGATCAGTGGATTCTACATCATATACAACCAGAAGAATGAGAAGTTATACTCCATTTATGTATGAGGTGTCAAAATGCATTCTACTGTCATGTGTAACTAATTAGAATTAAAAAAAAAAAAAAAAGATGAACCTGGAACATAATACCACTCCAGAAAGGAGCAGCTCAAAAAATAAGGGACATGTTCCAAGAACTTTAAAGAGCTTCTATGGCCAAATATGGGACAATTAAAGCAACCAAAAAAAATAATGGTAGTAATGGATTATAACTTGAAGAATAAAACAAACATCCATGAGTCCATAGTGATATAAACAAATAGTTGAATAAATAAAGGAAGGAGAGGAGAAAAACTCTTGTTTATAGAATGCCAATTAATTTTAAAAGAAATGATGAAAATCACTACTTGGTAAATATAAGAAAATAACTGTTTCAGGAAAGAATTCTAATGGATTTAAAATTTGTGGATGAAAGTACGAAGAGAAACAGGATATTTACATAGCCTCAAAGTATCTCTCCAGAGGATACACATTAACTAAAATGGTGAGAAGAGAGTGAACAGTATGTATTCAAACCATTATAGAGACATGCTATACAATTCTTAGCAGATACTCATAAGCAAGGATTCAGGATGATCAAGGGCAATGAGAAATATCAACATCAGGTGCCCCCTGATATGGTGTACTTGAGAAGGACACAAAATCATTCTTTTAGTGTTTTCTGATAGAGGGCACTAACTCGAATTCATTCATTAGGAAAGAGGAAACAAACTTGAGTTAATGGGACATTTTGCAAACACTAACCAGTCCTTTTCAAAAGTGTCAAGATCATGAGAAGACAGACTCAGGAAGTGTTCTGACTACAGGAGATAAAGGAGGCATAGTGACCAAATAAAATGTGTGATGCTGGACTGGATCTTGGTTCAGAAAAAAAGATATTAGTCAGACAATTACAGAAATCTGAATAAAAGTTACAGTATTTACCAACATTAATTTTTTGCTTCTGATCATGATTATCATAGTTATGCAAAATCAGGGAAGACTGAATTTCTTGTTCTATTTTTATAATCATTTTTAAGTATAAAATGATCTCAAGATTTAAAAAATACAATTTCTGCACCATTCACACATGGTTGCTGATGTAAAACGTGATTTTCCATCTTATCTAAAATTCTAACTATTCAAGTGACAATTCTCTGAAAGGGACTATGTATTCAATGAATTTATACTACCTCCCTTTATAGTTAGAGAAATTTACAATTTTCCTGTTGAATTTAAATAGGAAAATAAATCTGACAATCCCAACAGAGTGTTATCAGTGTACATATGTATATATGTAATGAAAGGCAAGGTGGAAGGTCACACAATTAATAGTCTTACTGTCACTGTCAACTAACAGAAAGATTGAAAATTTTCTCTGGTGTATCAGACTGTGTAAGTATCAATTAAAATCAACAAGATTCACCGAATGCCAAACATTACTAAATGTAGGCATCAGAGTTGCTGAGATGGACTTTACCTCAGCATCTCAAAGCTCTAGTACCTAGCACAGGGAAGTTATTAAATGCCTGCCAAGTGAAGAAATAAATACACTCACTTCAAAATTTAAATTCAGGGCTTCATGATAAAATTTTCTATCATTTTCTCCAATCAATGGAAAAGAGCAAATTCATCACTGCCTGCCATTTAAACTCCAGATCATTCTTTTCCTACCATCTCCTTTTTGTCCCTGTTGTATTTGTGCTTTCCACACCTTCTTTACCACTGTATCACCTTCCCTCATATCCACCAGTTCAGCAGCTGGTTCTTGACTTTTCCTTCTGTATTTGATATTCCTTAAAAAATAACACAGGTTAACCTAACCAGTCATTTTTTTCTGCTCTCCTATGCTACTGAGCATTATTATAGAAAGGTATACAAACCATTACAGAGATATGCTATCCAACCTTGCATGGGCCTCAGCTGCCAATCAGCAGTTTTAAAATTTCATTCCTATAAGATCGCTCACAGAAGTCTACACAGCAGGTGTTACACACATCACGAAGCTTTGAAAGTCATCTCTATCTAGTCACTTTCAACAAATGGGTGGCCTTGTTATAAAGATCCTGGATATAAGCCTTCAATTTTCATGCTTTCAAATGTCTTTAAAATGGTAAATCAATGATGAAAAATGGAGGAAAAAAATCATACTGATAATACAATAATTCATTATTCTAATAATACTTCATATATAGAATTAGTGGAAGAATTCACAATATAATCAGAAAAATCAACATATATATAAATAATTACCTTCTAAGGTAACTCATTAAGGAGACGGACTTTTAACTGTTATACACCACACTGCCTAAAACTATGATTTAGAGGTCACAGAGAAGATGCCAAAGTGGGAAGCACCAGGAATCTGCCTTCTTCCCTGGGCCACAGCTGTACTGACAGAACCTATCTGAAGAAACTATTTGAAATTGGCATCTACTGAAGGCTTGTGATTTCTAGGGGAAAGCTTGGATGGAAAACAGATCAATTTTGTTCAATCCAGCTCTCAGCACAGCCACACCTACCCATCCCCCAACCCCAGCCCCAAGGCAGGCAGCCACACAATTGCTCCTGAAGCAGCTCCTATGCAGGTTGTGGGAGCTAGGCTGGCAAAGAGGACCTGGTCCTCCAAACTGGGGACCCATGTTCTGATTACTAGTTGCTGCCTCTGATCAGGGAGATGCAGATACAGAGGCAACCATTATTAAAAATCCTTCCTGTTCAGCACCTGGTTTTTATGCCTTTTCATTATCTTTTCCTCCTTGGGAATCAGACATTTAATGACTAAGACATTCAAAAGCAACCATAGATACAGGGACATTTAGAAAGTCACCACACATGACCAGTGAAAGATATAAGCTCAGAAAAGATCCGAGGAAACCTTAAATTTACACTGTAGGCTGACAACAGCACATAGATACTACCACAATAAAAAACAAACAGCAGACCCTGGGAAAGGGGAAAAAATCTGATCTTCAGTGTTACCACAGTATATAAATGTTCAGTCTTCAATTAAAAAAAAATTACAGGATATGCAAAAACAGGAAAGTACGGCCCTTTCAGAGGGGGAAAAATAAAACACCAAGAACAAAAAACTAACATTAAACATCCCAGAAAGAGACTGGGTGCTGAATAACAGGACTAGGGGTGCAGCTCAGTGGTAGTGTGTGTGTCTAGCAAGCATGAGGCCCTGGATTAAAGGGGAAATGTAGGTAGAGTTGATGGTATAGAAATGAATATAGATAAGGAAAAGTAGCTATCTTCTGCAGTGCATATCCTTACCACACATCTGTCAGACGACATGTTACAGAGAATAGAATGTCACATAACATTTTCAATACAAGTACTTATTTTTATAATGGCTTTGGTATAATTGATAACCATAAAATATACCTTTTTAAAAACATTTTGTAGTTGTAGATGGACATCATGCCTTTATTTATTTTTGTATGCAGTGCTAAGGATTGAACCCAGTGCCTCATACATGCTAGGCAAGCACTCTACTGCCAAGCCATAACCCCAGCCTTAAAATATACCTTTTTAAAGTGCATAATTTAGTAGTTTTTAGTATATTCACAATGCTGTGCAATGATCATACTAACTTGAAAATATTTTCATCACCCATACCTACTAGTCACTAGTAGGCCTACAAACCCTACTAAACATTAATCTACTTTTCGACTCTATGCGTTTGTCTTTTGGACATTTCATGTAAATGGAATTATATAATATGTGGCCGTCTACACTAGTTCCTTTCCCACAGCATATGCTTTTAAGTTTTACCCATATCACATTCCCTTTTTGTGGCAGAATAATATTCTGTTGTTATGTGGATATATATTTTGTTTATGCATTCATCAGCTAATGGACATTTAAATTCTAATTTTGGCTATTATAAATAATACTACTATGCATATTTAGATAAAAGTTTTTATGTGAATATGTTTTCAACTCTATTGAAGTGAAATTGCAAAATCATAGGTAATTTTATTTATAAATTTATACATATCTATCTATATTTATTTATTTTTGTACTGGGAATTGAACTCACGGGCACTTGACCACTGAGCCACCTCCCCGGCCCTATTTTGTATTTTATTTAGAGACAGGGTCTCACTGAGTTGCTTAATGCCTCACTTTTGCTGAGGCTGGCTTAGAACTCACAATCCTCCCACCTCAGCCTTCTGAGCCACTGGGATTATAGGCATGCCCACCATGCCTGGCTCTATATGTAATTTTTAAAGAAACTACATAACTATTTTCCAAAGTGGCTGCATAATTTTACAAGTCAACCAGCAATGAATAAGGTTGCTAATTCCCTCAGACCTTTGCCAACACTTGATATAGCCTATCTTTTTTAATATAGAGATGCTAGTGAGTATGAGGTAGCACCTCATTGTGGTTTTGCTGTGCATTTCTCTGGGGACTAATAATGTTGAGCATCTTTTCAGGTTCTTATTGACCATTTGTATATCTCTTTTGAGAAATGTCTGTTAAAATCCTTTGTTTCTTCATTGAGTTGTCTTTTTATTGTTGAGTTTAAATGTTCTTTATATGTTCTGGATACAAATCCTTCATCAGATAAATGACTGCAAATATTTTTTCTCCATTTTGAGGGTGGTGGTTTCACTTTCTTAGTGGTGTTCTTTGAAGYAAAAAGTGTTTAATTTTGATCATGTCCAATCTGTTTCTTTTGTTGCTCATGCTTTTGATGTCATGTCTAAGAAAACCACGTTTTATTATGTATGCATGTCAATAGGAACGATTGGAAAATAAATGATATAAAATTACGAATCAAAGTAAGAAACCTGATTGAAAACTCAAATTCAGAATCCAGTTTTCTGTAAATAAATCAGAGATAATAAACACATATTGCTAACTATTGACTAGCAAATAGTGGTATGTGGAAGTCTGTCCTTTCTACTAATCAGTGAAAAGTAAAAGCCTCAAAGAAAAAGTAATAATAMTCTCCAATCCCTATATTAAGGTAATGTTTAGGCGTTTTAAAATTTTTATCTATAAAATAACTTTAGACATCAGAAGTTTAACCTTCTTCTCTAAAGGAAAACATTTACCTGCTAAGTAATTCCAGTCCAGCAGAGTACCTTGGCAAATATGGAACAGTCCTGCCAAAAGAAACACTTATTTTATTAACACTGAATCTTAAAAAGAATCTTAAATTTTGTCAACACTGAATCTTAAAAAGAAAGTTACATACAAGAATTCTGACACCATCAATTATAAGAATATTTTAAAATTACTGACAATTTATCTAAACTTTTAGAAAAATGTATTATGTTAGATTTAATGTACTATAGTATATCAAACTGTCACTTTGTCCCATGCAGATTATTTTCAGAAAATAAAACAATAAACATTTTAACACTACACAAAGAGAATACACATGATCCAAGTTCATCATCTCAAGGTAGAAAGTGAAATCTGAGCATATGCTTTACTAAAAAAAATGAACAAAGGGCACAATACTGGTGTTTTCATATAAAACAAGCAAGAGCTAAAAAGATTCGTTTACCATGTCCTATTTCATTATTAATATGCTTTACAATGTTGCAGGACTTTTACTTTTCTCTGAACATACAAATTACTTATGATCAAACAACAGCTATTGATTATCAGAGTGAACAATCACACTTCACCATTTTTTCAACCATTTCACAACTTTCCTGTTACAAAATTTAGAATCAATAAATTATTTTGTAGTTGATGYACTCAACAGATCTAATATGCATAAAATAATTTTACTATTATGACTACAATCAAAAGCCTTATGCAATTCAAGTCAAGGTAAACTAGAATCTTAGCCTGAGCTTACCTGGGTTTGCTTTTTACTTTAGCTTCTTTTGACTTGTCACTCAAAGTCTTTAGCCTATAATTTGAAAAGCATAAAATATATTTTTACAGGTCAAGAGACTTTCAACTACAAGTTTTCACAGCTGTTACAATTTTTGGTGGGATAGGCTTTTTTTTTTTTAAACCAAAAATTAAGCACCTGTAGAGGCAACAAATATTTCAGTGTTTTTACTGTATGTCAGATAATCACAAATGCAAAGTGAGAAGCAATTTTTATATACTTGTTTTTCCCAAATCTCTTTGTTAGAAACAAAGATTCCTAAAAGTGATCAAAGCAGAGAAACCTTAATATCTGGTATCACTAGAAAAAGTAGTGATTCACATGGGTGAACTCAGAAGAAAAGGTAAACTATTCATGAACAAGGCATACTTTCATTAGACACAATCCCAGGCACTCAGTTATTTTAAGTACCTGAATTATTGAAATTTCAGTTGATAAAAAGCTTTCTAAATATATTACAAATTGTTTTCAATAAAGAAGATTTGGCAAACCCCATTTACCATTTTTTGGTAACTCCAGTTTGTCTGTATGATATCTGGCTGCCTGTTGGGCAGAACAGTACTTCCTTTAGATGCTTCTGAGCTAGGAATCCATCTGCATTTGCTAATATGAACCAATCCATGGGGTTTGTCTGGGCTACTGCATCCATTTTTCCTAAAGTTTCAGCCTCTACACTTGGTTAGCTGGTTTCAGGATCCTGTACTGCTTCTGCTAACTATCTAACTCCTGCAGCCTCCTTCCCTTTATGTGTTTTTAAATGAGTGGGCTAGAAAACAAAACAGAAACATGGGCTAGAACTGCAGACACAGTTATTTAGCAGGTTCTTCTAAATATAAAATATGATGTTCAGACTGTACAATTTATTTTCACTTTACTGGCCCAGTTTCACTTTCTTTTGTATGTAGACTCTACTCCAGATAACTAAATTGCCAATAAACAAGTGCTAGATTATGAGATAGTCTCTTATAAGATACTGCTATACATGTTCTTAATTACTTCAACAAATATTCATTTTAAAACAAGAGACTGAAATAACCCACAGTACCACTGCTAACCCCTCAAAGCCTCTACAAAACACAGAAATGGGTGCTCCTTCCTTAGGATGCTTTACTGACATCAGCCAGGACCTGCTGACTATCACATGCATACCTCACATCTACATTATACAGTATGCTACCTGCCCAACCACACATGCAAACCCTGACACAGATTCCATCTTTTTGTCAATAATGCCTGGTTAAGCACAAGAAAGGCATTTCTGATCAAAYGTATTTTTTTAACAAAATTGGTATGCCAATTTGTCATTTTACTCTTTTTTTAAAAAAATTAGATTTCTCTATAATGCCCCCTAAATTAAACCATCTCTTTAGTACAAAATTTGGTTATCTATCAGATGAAATCAAGAAAATTACACAAACATTTCATCTGTCTCACAGAAAAAAATAAAATTTCTAAGCTTATCTTAAAAATAGTAAATCTGGCTTAAACAAAGATTAATCTAACAAGAACTAGACAAAGGTATTTTTATAGTCATGCTTTGGCATTTTTACTCCAAAATGAGAGAAAGGCATTTAGGTGTGACAACTCSGGGGGGGGGGGTTATCCTAGGGTAGTTACATGGCACTGCACCACCCTTGAAAATGAGTCTACGGTATTTTCAGTGACCTGAGTCGATGCTATCAGATGTGAAAGGGATCGTTAAGATGCTCTCTGGACCACTCTGACCATATGATTTAGCTAATCTCTAGATTGATTGTTCATATATTTATTTCTAAAATAAACTTTCAGTTTCTCAATATGACAGTTTAGGGTCCTTTCCTTCTCCCTTCCAAGAAAGGAAAAAGTGATCTGGAAGAAAGGAGTTACAGGGAACTGGAAATGAAGCTGCTGCAGGTCACCAAGAGCTCCCCAGTGGCTCCCAACAAACACAGGTCTTTAACCAAATGGAACCTGAAGAGCTTATCTGATCTGAATTTGAACAGATCAGCTCTAAAGAGACATTTCTAAGAATGAAAAAAATCTGATTATGAACTAGATAACTGTTAAAATTGAGGAACTAGTGTTAATTTTGTCAGAAATGATGCTGGTATTGCATTTATATAATGTCTGTAATTTTTTTTAAGCGATGCAAACTGATGTACGAGAGATGTAATAGACAAATCTGAGATTTACTTTTTACATAAAGAAAGATAAAGCAAATAGGGCAATATTTGAAAATTATGGAATCTGTGTAATGGATATATGGAAGTCATTGTGTTACTCTATTTTTGCATATGTTTGAAACTTAAAATTTTTAAACAAACAAAATAGACTTTAATATATTCATCTTTTCTCACCACACCTTCTTCAAATAAATTTTCAATGTGCCAAAGCCAGAAAACTGATGGAGAAAACAAAAAGCAGCTACAGGGAAGTTGGAAACAGTGACAAAAGTTCAGGGGAGAAAAATATGCAGGGTTACAATCACTATTTCTTAAGGTGGAAAAAATAAGGTTAGATATCATTAGTAAAGTAAAAAATCAAATACATCCTTTCTAAGATCCATCCTTAAAACCTGGAAGGGAACTGAAAGTAGTCTGCCATTTTTATTCTGAGATAATTCTACTTAAAATTCCTCACACTGGTCCTGCACTGGAAAACTCTCACTGAAATTCTATTTAATGTCCCACAGTGTGATGACATACTGGGAAAGAAATACTGATCTAGGGTGAACACTCCTGCTTCCTCAAATGTAAAATGGTAGTATTATTCTCAACCATAAAAATTTGCCAAGAATAAAATAAAAGCCCCAAAATGACCTCAGTGGTATTTGGAGAAACTACAGAGCTAATTCAAATGAAAGATATAATAAAAAATTATCATCATTAAGAAAATCGAGAAACTGCATATGTAACTGGGCCAGGGTGAAATAAAGCAGAGGTTCCTAATGCACCAGTTTCTATGAAAGGCTTTCCTTCCCTGGCCCATTCTCACTCTTCTTCCAACAGCATACACACCCAGGAAGGCTTAAGTGCCGCTATATGAGTACACTAATAAATAGATTTAAGAGAGCCACCTAACAATTATTTTCTAGTAATGTCAGCTAATGCACATTTTGAAGTTCAAAGCACTCAACCTCAAATTCATCCAGAACAGTTCAATAATTTTATTTTTAGATGGCTCCAAATACCAACATATTTATTTCTTCAAACTTTGAAGAAAATACTAAAATGAAAGCCTCTTACTAATAAATGGAGGTGACGTGCAAAACCGCTCAGACAAAAACTTAAGAAAGATGAAGATAAACAGCATGTCTCATGGAGTGATGAGCAGATCTGCGTAGCTGACCCAACTGCATGAGGCGACTTGGATGGCACTTCATTCATCTGCACCTAAACTTCCAACTCATCTATATCATCATCTCTTAGGAAAGGTGACTTATGACTGCTTTTAAAACACCATGAAAACATATATTGGCATATTTTGTCATAAGACTCAATTCTTCTGAAATAGGTTGGTGCTTCCATCATTCTAACTTTAAATTCTGCTCACAAATTTTCACATTTGTATTTACCAATTCCTTCACTCCTTTTTTTAAATATTTTTTATTTTTACATTTATATGGTGCTGAGGATCGAACCCAGTGCCTCATGCATGAGGGGCGAGCCACAACCCTAGCCACAACTCCCTCTTTTTTCCTAACAAGATCAGGGAATAAGCAAAAGCATTAATTATGCTGCAAGGTGAAAATGACCTCTAAGCTCCAAAGCCTGAAAAATTCACATAAAATCTGCACAAACTCAGAAAAGGGAGTCTTTACCATAATTAATCTCCAATACACCAAGCTTCAGTTCTAATTGCTCCTGAGTGTGTCAATTTCCAACTACTACTTCACAACAAATTCACCTTCAACTGCTCCTTCTCCTGAAACTGTTCTTGTTCTTTTATGTGGTCATATACCATCATTTCTCTAAGATACTCCAAAACCAACACTCTCAATTTCTGTGCATWTTTCATCTCCCACATCTCACTGCTGACAAATTCAACCACTGCCTGTCACATTCCCCCCTGTCTTCTAAATTTCTATCAGCACTGCCTCATCTTCTCTTACCTGGCCCCAAATTATAGCCTTATCTCCCCATCCCCAACCCTTACCTTATCACACTACCTAAATTATTGTTCCAGAAATGCAGCCATATGCTTCTGGAAATACAAACAGAACTCTCCCCCTTAACCTGGTTTTTAGCCCCAGTACTTAGGACCTTCCAGATATTCTGCCTCCTGCCACTACAATGAGCAGGGACCTCATTTGCTGTCTGGTTGTTCTCAGCCATGTCCTCAGCACCTGGAGCAGTGCCTGCCACAAAGTAAACCCTCGTAAGTAGTTGACAAATTAACTAAGCAAAGCTTTAAAGATTATCAGGCAATGATCTTCCTTTCCTGCTTTATCTTTGAAATACCCTTTCCCAAATCTATCACAATCTCTCCCCAGTCTTCAAGGCCCAGTTTGGAAACCATTTCCTCTTTGAAGCCTTCTGTATATGCATCCAAATTAATCACTCTTTCCTCTGGGCTCACATACCCACTACTTGTACCTTTAATATGCAGTTCATTTTGCTTTATGTTACCACTAGTTTAACGCATCCAAGGGGAAGGGCCTATTTCAGTCAGCTTCACAGCCCGAGGATCTAGCCCAATACATAGACACTGCTTATTAAATAAGCAGAACTGAGTATATGGCCTCTCAAACTTTTTTTAAAGCTTCTATTTAAAAAAGGACACTTCAAGTACTTAACCTTATGTCTGGCACTTAGCAGGAACTCAGGAAATATTTATTTAATCAGGTTAAACACTGATTTTTTTTCTTCCTTTTTAAGAAGGATAAATTCTAGAAAAGTCATAATTTCAGTCAAAACTTCACCATTTCACCACACTATGGATTACTGGATTCTCTCCTTTGTGCAGCTTTTGATACTATAGGAAAAGAGAGAATGAGGCCACTGGGCAGGGATGGAGGCCAGTGGCATAGTGGCTTTGAGGAGGAAACACCTACTGCCCAGTTGCAACAATTAATAAACAGATTTTTAAATTCCTAATCATAAGAATCCARAGCATTAAAAACAAGAAACAACAGCCTGTTACAGACAGCTGCAACCTTTCAGTAAAGATTTTTCAGGCCCTGAAGAGATTTGCAAAATCTCTTTACATGTCTGAATATCTCAGTCCTGAGACCTTTAGTTATAACTACTCAAGGGATAAAAATCAAAGATTCAAGTAGATCTGAACTATGTGCATCTGTATATTCAGAAGGTTCTCTAAGAGTTTAACACCTCCTCTCCTTCCCCCCAAAAAGGATGTCCTATGTGAACCCTCCAAAGGGGCCCTAGAATTCTGAGCTAAATTAAGGTCTCAGTGATGAGAAAGATCTCATGAGGACCAGAACCAAAGCCCTTCAGTTCCAGGGCCTTGTGGCTGGCCCACCATCCACTTAGGGCAGAAAAAATATGATACAATTACAATAGTAGGTTTGTCTCAATGTAGAGATAATTGTCACTGTGAAAAAAAAAATACTAAAAAAGTTAGTGGGCTGGGGTATATATAGCGCAGCACTAGACCACTTGCCTAGTGCATGTGAGGCCCTGTATTGGATCCTCAGTGCCACATAACTAAAAAAAAAAAAAAAAAAAAAACTTAAAAAAAGGTATTGTGTCTATCAATAACTAATACATTAAAAGAAAAAAGTTTGCAAGAGACTGGGTGTTACAGCTCAGCAGTAGGGCATTTGTACAGTATGTTCAAGGGCTCAGGTTCAATCTCCAGAACTGCAAAAATAAATTTAAAAAAAGTAAATAATAAAGCCACAAGTTCACAGACAACCTTGAGTCTGGTAGACTATCAGTAATATCTATCCTGTCCTTTAGGAGTCACAATCATAATGTGCATTTTTTTCTAAATCTAAATGAAATACAGAAGTTCAAAGTGTTCTTTGAACATGCTTTAACTTCTGTGACATTCTCTTATAAGACTAATAAATAATTGTTATTTAAAGAGTCACTAAAAATGGAGATTTGCCTAGAGTTAGGCTCTGGATATAAGAATATTCAGAAACTGAAAATGAGAAGAGCTGAGTAAATGCTATTCTGATAGCTGAAGAAGCCCACAAAATCACAAGGTCATGTACTGATTGCCTGCAGCACTGTGAAACTAGATGTTTTTAGTTATTTCAGAAGGCAGTTGTCTAATAAACACCTGCTCGGTGTCCAATGTTCCTACAGGAATGCCAGGTCCAATTGGATGGTTTTGGGAGATAATTGCTAAGTCTCTTATCTCTGAATCAAACCCATTAGTGCCTCTATACAACAAACATGTGAACTGGGATTAATTTCATCTTATCAAAGCAAAAATATTCAAATATGTAAAGTAAGCTGATCTTAAGCTAAACATGGAGGAATTTACAAAGATGAATTGTTTTGTTTTGTTTCCTTAGTAAAAATCATGTAGGAAATTGAGGATGTAACAAAGAAAATCTGAGCTGAGAGTTGTGGGTCAACTGTCAGACATCACCTGGATTGAGTTATCTCCCAGTTAATAACAGGCTGATGGTACACACACTGACAATGGGGTGGTTTATCTGTTAAGACTGACCTATTCAAAGAGGAAGCCAACAAAGAACCTTCATGGAATGAACCCCTCAAAGGATGTCTAATGCTAAATGGGACCCATACTATGGCATCTTCCAGAAGCCAAGTCAGTTTCCAAGGAGTTTTAACCAGACTCCCTCAGGCCCTCTCCCTAACTAACCCTAAACTTCAGGATCATCCAGCTCTCTCAGGATGGTCTGCACTATGGCAGTCCAGACCATATTACTAAGCAAAAGACTTCTTAAACAAAGGTCTGCATGAATCAGTCCTGAGGCAACCATGACCTAGGGAGTTGTAGCAAGTACTAGAAGGAGGACTCCTATGCCCTCTAGGAATTCCCTGAAGCAGTGTTAACAAGAGCTAMCCAGGTGGGTTTATCTATGGCCACTCTCATGCGACAAGCAGACCACTTAAGAATTGTTCCCAAAATTTTAAAATTTACACTCTGAAGTTATTTCTTCTAAATTAACAGGGAGAAAAAAAAATGCAAGCATGCAACTACACCAATCAGAATGACTTCCTGTGCATCCCTAACACTCTTAAGAACAACAAAGTATCAAAATTGCCTTATAAAAGTGTTTTAAGTGCTCAAGTATTCGCCAATTTGTTGCTAGTCCACAGGCAATAAAAAGTTTAACATCTTTCCCCTTAGGAATCTAAAACATTCGCCAAGGAGGCCCTCGAATTCAAAACATTCTCCAAATGGCTTTGTAAGGTAAAAGTTACAGACCCTTTATACAAGGGACACCTCTTCTAGTGAAAAAGTTAAAATGACTTAAGCACAGATAACAGTCACATAGGGCCTGTTTTACATGTTCATTCATTAATCCTCTCAATGACCCTGTGAGATAAGTGCCATCATAATTCCCATTTTACAGTCGCCGGAGCAGTATAGAAAGAGGCAAGACAGTTGGGTAACTTGCAGAACTATGGTAACTGGTAGAGCCAGGACGAGCGCCCAGGCCGTCCGGAGCCCGCTCTCCTTCCCAGGCAGCTGCACAGCGGAACCACCTGGGGGCTTTTTAACAACTCCGTCCCCTTTCGCTTTTAATTGGAATCTGGTGCGAGCTGGGCGTGGGGGTGAAAAGTTCCCAGGCGCGTCGCGGCCGTTGGCGGAGCTGTGGGTCTCTGCTCCTAACTCCGCTCCCGCTGCAGTCGCCCGCTTCCCTCGCCCGGGTCCCTCACTGGGCGTGGTGGGGGCGAGGGAAGGGGGTCGGCGATCCAAACGCGGAGGGAGGCGGCGGGCGGCCCCCGCCCGGGAGCCTGCAGGTGTCTCCGCGCACCGGGGCAGGGGTCGCGGGCGGCGTCCCGGCAGGCGGAAGCGGGGCGGCGCGCTCGCCTCTCACGTGACGCCGCTCGCCGGCCGGGTGAAGGGAGAGGGGAGGTCGAGGGCCGACCGGGGCCGGCCGCCCGGGACCTGCCCCCCCCCCCCCCCCCCCCCCCCCCCCCCCCCCCCCCCCCCCCCCCCCCCCCCCCCCCCCCCCCCCCCCCCCCCCCCCCCCCCCCCCCCCCCCNCCCCCCCCCCCCCCCCCCCCCCCCCCCCCCCACCCCCCCCCCCCCCCCCCCCCCCCCCCCCCCCCCCCCCCCCGGGACCGAAGTTACTTTGCGCCTCTGGAGGCCCGGACGCTGGCGAGTTCCTTACTTTTCTTCGGCCGGGGCGCGGCGGGCAGGCCGGGGCGGGGCGGCGGGCAGACAGGCCGTCACGGCCGCAGCCCCAAGCCAGCCGGCCCGGCGCCCCCGGGTCCCTTTCGGTCACCTACCGTATACCCACCCGGAGGCGAAATCCTGCTGCACGCTCAGCAGCCGCTCGCGCAGGGTCTCCAGCATCGCCACCGCCGCGTCGCCTCCCCTCAGGCCTCGCGCCGTCTCTCTGGCCGCGGCCCCCCACCCCGAACCGCCTCTCAGCGCACCTGTCAACCGCACGCCCCGCACTCCCGCGGCTGGCCCCGCCCCCGGCTSGCCCCGCGTCCCCGCGCCGCAGCCCCAGCGCCTTCCGCGTTCCCGCCCCCGCCGGCCTGAGCGCCCTCGCTCCGCCCCCGCCGCGCTCCGGGACCGCGCAGCCGCAGTGGAGCGCACCGACCAGGCTGCGGAAAAGGGGGCGGGCCTTTCTCGCCAGGCCGCCCCCCCCGCCCGGGAGCCCGTGCCTCCTCCAGCTGCGGCTCCGCCTTCTCGTTTCTCTGGGTCTGGGGTCTGACTCCCCCCAAGGCTTTGGAACTTCGGGTGGGGTAGTCAACGCTGAGCYTCTGTTTCTTCATCGGTAAAAAGACAGTAACTGTCTCGATCACGCCAAAAGATCAGTTTTCCCAAGTCTCCAGGGACCCCCTTGTCACCAATACCGTTTGCTACTTCTCTGCCTTGATTCTTTCTGGACCGCCTAGTTCTCCTTGCGTGTCTGCATCCCACCCTTAAGTCACATTCTTGACTGGYTAACAAGGTCTCCTTGCTCCTCTCCCTTCCCCTTCACCCTTTCTCCTATTTCAACAGCTACGTCCCCAGCCTTTCCATCTTCTCCACCTGTGCTCTCTCCCTAGGTTATGATACCCATCACCTCCTGTGATTTTTCTCAAGGCACTAATGAGGCCCACATTTCTGTCTTCAGCCTTGTCCCTCCTCCCTTTAATTTATGCCAGTTGCTTCCTCAACATGTATCCAACATGCATCTCAGAGCAACATACACAAAATTGAAAATCTCATTGCATGCTTGCCTCTTAATCTGCCCTTTTCCAGTCTTTTCATTTCAGTGAAAAGCCCCACCATCAACCAGATTGCTCAAGTTAAGAAATGATCCCTGGTTCTTCTCTTTTTCTCACCGTGCATAACCCATCAAATCTAATCAACAATCTCTTAAGTAATTGTGGGATCTGCTGCCCTTTCTCTATCTTCATTATTATCATCCCAGTCCAMCCCCCCCCATCTTCTTTCACTAGAAACATTGACAACCCTTCCTGATTATACTCTGTCACCATTCCATATCTGTTATCCTCGGCGACACAACAGCCAGAGAGAATTATTTAAAAGACCAAACAGAGCCAGGCACTGTGACACAAACCTATAATTCCAGAGACTTTGGAAGCTGAGTTGGAAGAATCACAAGTTTCAGGCCAGCATGGACAATTTAGCAAGACTTGGTCTTAAAATTTTAAAAAGGCTGGAGGAGAAGCTCTGTGGCAGATGGCTCCTGGGGTTCAATTCCCACTACCATACCCAAAAAAAAAAAAAAAAAAAGCTCGTTTTGGTCATCTGCTTAAAATTCTTCAATTGCTTTCTGTGCATCTGGAGTAAAATTCAAACTCCTTATCCCAGCTTAGAAAGCCTTGAAAATTGAATGCTTTCAGACAACTCTTTCCAAATTAAATACTACTCACCTGTCCTATTCTTGACCCYCAAGCCATAATAGCTTTTTTGTTTGTTTGTTTTTGTTTTGGTACCTTGTGTTCAATCCAACACAAGGCTCTTAACCATAAGCCACATCCCAGCCCTTTATATTTTTTGTTTTGAGGCAGGGCCTCTCGTAGTTGCTGAGGCTGGCTTTGAACTTGAGATCCTCCTGCTTCAGACTTCCAAGCTGCTAGGATTACAGGTGTGGGCCACTGCACCCAGCCCAAAATAGCCTCTGTGTTGGGGGGTGTTCCTTCAAAATTTCAGCTGCATTTCCATCTTAAGGACTTTTTATAACCTTATCTCCAAACTGTTCCTTGAGTGAATCCTTCATGACATGTAAGTATCCAGTTAGGTATGTTTTTCATGACCAAATTACCCACCCAGTCAATTCCTATAGCATACCCTGTTTCTTTGTGCACATAGTACATATTAGAAAATGTATGTAATAATTATTTAAGCAATGAAAAGTTGCTAATTAATTTGTTTACTAATTTATTTTAAAAATAGGGCTGGGAAAGGCAGGAAGACAGTCACTTCAGGTACAAGATTTAAGAAAAGGACAAAAAGCTTGATAATCAAAATAAATAATATTTTAATACAATATTTTTTAAAAATTCAAAATTAGTGGAAAAAACCCACAATATGCAAAACATCAAAATGTTACATAAGGGACTGAGGTTGTGGCTTAGAGGTAGAAAGCTTGCCTAGCATGTGTGAGGCACTGGGTTTGATCCCTGGCACCACATAAAATAAATAAAATAAAGCTATCATGTCCATCTACAAAATAAAATAAAGCTATCATGTCTAATATATATATATATATAACATAAAACAAGTTCTGGTAGAGATGGGATTGGAGGAGGTAAGTGAGGTGACTTTGAGGTGACTGTGTATGTCCAGGTCCAAATGTAAACTGCCTCCCTTCTAATAGCCCTGTATCCCCAGCACCTAGAAGAGGGAATGGCATTGTGTGCACACTAGTAGATACTCAATAAATAGTAATTGTTTTGCTGTAGGAATTAAGATAAAATACTTGGCTCATGGCTGGGAAACCTCTTCTCCACTCTTGATATTTCCTTCCATGTGGAGGAGGCACCTCTGCTAGTAAAATACTTCCTACCTTTTCTGTGGAGGAGGAGGGGTGTTGATGATTGGTGAGCTAGGAAGTAATCAGCTTAGCACCTCCCACTTTTCTTCTTCCTCCTCCTCCTCTTCTTTTTCTCCTCCTCTTTCTTCTTCTGTACAAATGTGAGAAATGTGCATTCATCCTGCTGCTGTAAGTTCAGGTAGCCACATGACTCAATCTTTTTTGTGACTTGGCTTGCAAGTCTCAATCTAAGGCTTAATATTGGAAGCTCTGCTTGACCATGAATGGAAGCCATGTGTTTCACCAGCCATATCAGAGATAAAAGTGATGTTTTATTCTCATTACGCTGACTCTTGTCTTATTTCTGTGTTGGTTCATACAGTAAGGGGTGCTGCTTACTGAATCATYCCCTACCTCCAAAGCAAGTGACCAAGTGATTATATCTGGAGACAGGTGCCTTAGTATCTAGTGTTTGGAAATTATAAATACTAGGAATTATGAAATCTGTTTTATTTCATTCAGTTAAATAACTCCTCTTCCCATAAGCTTGATTCAATTTTCTAAGTTTCATGGATTTCAATATAATACCAAATCTATGAAAAACAACAACAAATTGCCTGTTAGTAAAAAATAGCTTTACTGGTTGTACCTAGACACTTCCATTTTGACTGATTCACTGTTTTTCGTAGTCTTTCTTCATTTTTAGTCATTTTATGAGCATTCTTAATCATGTCTAATAAATGCAAAAACAGTGTAAGTTTTTAAAAATGCTGATGAGAAGAGACAATATAAAGAAACAAAAGTGGATCCGAAAAATGAACAGAAGTCAAAATGAAAAGGGGAAAATGATTCCTATTGCAGGAGTTGTTCCTGTTGCAGGAGAAAGATGAAAGACCTGGAGTTGAACATGTGACGTGCTGCGTTGATGAAACACATCTGAAGATGGAAGCTGATGGGCCAAGAAGTCACACACTATCTGGAGTGACATCCTGAACAACAGAGTTGGGAATGAGCATTTGACAGACCTAAATGGAAAGAACAGTGAAAGGTACCTCAGCTCATCTATTTGTGTTCCAAAGTGCATCCCACTATACTAGAATGTAATTGAGCACCYAACCTTATACTTATGCTCACATGAAAAAAGAACAGTACTATGCCATGACTCAAAAGAGGAAACATTTTTGTCCTTGTTGCTCTGTATGTGGCTCCACATGATCTATAAAAAAAATCAAGGGACCTCATTCATCTAAGAATGTAAGAACCCTACATGACGAATGGAGACCACATCCTGCATTCTTACAAACATACCATTCCCTTAAAGAAAGTATGCCTCAGAGATGTAGTAAATCTCTATTGCATAGAATTATCTTCCAGTGGGAGGATCTAATAACATACCAAAACTCTTTAAAAAGAATTAGTAGCAAAACAAAATGATTGAGACAATTATTACCTATTGTGAAGTTAGAGCTTAATACAGAGAAGATGGAAAAGTCCTAATAATTAATCATTATTAATTGAAGTAACTAATAATTATAATTGCAGTTGATAGTTTGCACACCTGGCTGTTCCTTTGAATCACATGGGGAACATTTAAAACACCCATGCCTGTTTTACCCCTGAGTTTTGGATTTAACTGGTCTGAGGCAATGATCTACTCATTCTGCACTGTTTGAAAGCTTCCCAGGTGATTCTGATGTGCAGTYGGGCTAGGAACAACTGAGCTAGCCATGAAGACCTGAGCTACCCAGCAGAGAAAAGCAGTTTCTTGCTAGAGTACCAACTACGGCTTTGGAACCCATAAATCCATCCTTGGTCTCTGAAGTCAAGGCCCTACAGATGCTGCTCCACTTACAATGCAGTTGCAATCTCATTAAACACACTGTGTATGCTGAAGAGTATTGGTCCCCACCTGCGGTTACAGAGCTGATGCGGAGCTGCAGCTCTCTGTCACTGTCCAGCATCAGGGAAGAGGTTCACACTGTGTATTGCTAGCCCAGAAAAAGATCCAAATTCAAAATCTGAGGTATGGTTTCTACTGAATGGCTATTGATTTCACACCATTGTAAGATTGGACCACTGTAAGTCAGAGACTATCTATAGTTTGCCCTCCCCTTTCCCAGCTCATTCATCTGTAAGGTTTGGTGCTCTGGGTCTTCGGACCATCAGCCTGAGTTCCTGAAGCCTCCACACAGCACTTTCTGCTGGTTGACTTTTAAGGCAACCATGAGAGGTGGACCCACAAGATAAAGTAAAGCAAGCAGTGGATAGAAGGCAGAAGACCTCTCTGTCAGATGGCCAGGAGGAGCGGTGCTTTGGGCTATAATGTTACAGATAAAGGACACCTCCACTGACCATTTTCTGAAACCTACCTGGGGAAGTGACAACTTACTACTGCCAGCTCAAGACATCACATTGAAGACAAGTAGCATTCGTGGGCCAGGGACTGTGCAAGTAGCCCCCAATGGTTTGCCTTACTG